TACATCAATACATCATTACATACATCAATACATCAAAACATACATCAGTACATCAATACATACATCAATACATACATCAATACATCAGTACATCAATACATACATCAATACATACATCAATACATCAATACATACATCAATACTTCAATACATACATCAATACATCAATACATACATCAATACATCAATACATACATCAATACATCAATACATACATACATCTATCAATACATATATCAATACATACATCTGTATGATTTTTTTTTTTCACCTGTGCAGGATTATGGGATGTGGGAGCGAGGCGACAAAACCAACCAGGGAATCCCGGAGCTCAATGGCAGTTCTGTAGGGATGGCTAAGGTACTGTTCCTCTCAGCATTCATATAAATTCATATTAATCTTACCGCTTTCAACAGAAGTAAAGATTCACAATCTGTGAGTACGGATGGATGTTTGCAGGCAGCTCTGGAGGCCATCGATGAGCTGGATCTGTTCGGCGTTCGAGGAGGACCAAAGTCTGTCATCCATGTTCTGCCTGATGAAGTGGAGCACTGTCAGGTACTGCCAGCCCTCCCTCCAGATGGCTCCACATCAGCTCTGCTCCTCGTTCATGTCCTCACCACGTATTTTTATGTCCTCCTCAGGCCATCCTGTGCTCCATGTTACCGAGAGCCTCCACATCCAAGGAGATCGACGCCGGTCTCCTGTCTGTCATCTCCTTTCCCGCCTTCGCGGTGGAGGATGCAGACCTGGTGGCCATCACCAAGTCAGAGATTATAAGCAAACTGCAGGTGAAGTCTAAGCAAGAGGAACATTTACAGCTCCGTGTTCGGTAATTTAATCTGCTCTTTGAAGTTTTTTAATTCGTCGGTTTGTTTTCAGGGTCGCTATGGCTGCTGCCGCTTCATCAGAGACGGATATCATTGTCCTAAAGAGGTAAGAAGGCTGAATGATAGCTGGAATTGACTGAAGAAGCTGTGTTCTTAGAGCTCAAAGAGCAATAGCTATAATGACTAATATGAGCAAAATGCTAGCTTCAAGCTAAAAGCAGCACATAGTTAGCTATAAGCCAAAAAGAACAAATGGCTTGCTTAAAGCTAAAATTAGCAAGCACAAGCTACAAACAATAACCAGCAAAAAGATGGCTAAAAGCAAAATAAGGCAAAAGTTTAGTTAAAAGCTTAAAGTAGTTGATTGTTAACTAAATGCTAAAGCTAGAAAAAGGCTAGTTTAAAGCTAAAAGTTGCAAATGGCTAGCTTAAAGTAGCAGAATGCTAGCTAAAGCTAAAAATGGTAAAAAGCTAAGTAAAATAGTAACAAAAGTTTAGCTAAAAGCTGAAAGTAGCAAACTGATGGCTGTTGCTAAAAATAGTAAATGGCTAGCTACAAGTAGCAAAAGTCTTGTTAAAAGCTAAAATTAGTCGATTGTTAGCTAAAGACTTAAAGTAGCAAAATGCTAGCTTATGGCTAAAATTAGCAGTACGTTGGCTATGGCTAATGCCTAAAATAGGAAAAGGCTAGAACAAAACTAAAAGTAGCAAAAAGCTATCTAAGCTAAAAGTGTCATGAAGATATTTGTAAATAATAATGAACTGAACGTTTTGAATTATGAATGTTTAAAAATATACAGAAAAGTAACATCTACAGAAAAACAATGGTGGCAATGCTAACTCAGCATTCTACATTTGAAACTAAAATCCTGCTTTTATAACGAAAAATGAAATAATTTAAAACATTTTGGTCAAACATCAAAAATCATGTGACAGGAACGCTCAGAATCTGTGTTGGAGATGACTCTCAGCTACCACATCTAATTTTAGCTAAAACTAACAGAGTTAGAGCCGTGTTTGTGATCGTTAAAGTCGATTAGCTGTGGCGACCATCTTGAACTAGGTGGACATCAAAAATAAATCTGTTGTACATGTACACAACAACCAAAGTAAAAATCGATGTTATAGTATTTTTACGTATTGTGGTATTTAAGCAGTGAAGTCTGAGGTTCTGCTCGTTGTATCACCAGGACCCGACCCGACTCCACTACGATCCGGCAGAACTCAAACTGTTCGAGAACATCGAGTGTGAGTGGCCCGTGTTCTGGACTTACCTCATCCTGGACGGGATCTTTGCTGGAGATCATGTGCAGGTGGAACAACAGAACACACCGGTCCATTTGGGTTCTTCTGACTTCATTTGAACAGATAAAAAAAAAACATTTTCCACATAAACATAAATATTGTCTATTTTTTATTCTAGTGAAAAATTAATTTCTATGTTTATGAAAAACAATCTTTTGTTTCACTTCATATGAAACTTGAGTTTATTTAAGACGATAAACACATATAAATGTTTGATTATTGTTTGTTTGTTCAAAATGTAGTGAATAAATAAATGTATGGGCAGATGGATGAATGTATCATATTAACCGGTTGGTGGTGTCTCCGTGTTAATAAATAACTTTAATAACTAAATAATTAATGTATGCTCTGCAGGTTGAGGAGTACCGGGAGGCCCTGGAAGGTGTTTTAATTCGAGGGAAGAACGGCATCAAACTGTTGCCCGAACTTTACGTTGTTCCCCCTGACAAGGTACCCACTGACTCCCCTAAACACCAGTAATACTAAATATCAGATACTAAATCCTACAAAAGAGCGTTTATCAAAGAAATACTTACAAACGACTTACAGGCGGTTGGAATGACGTGTTAGGGCTCATTTTCTGGTTGGAGGTGTTGAAATCTGCAGACTTCAGCTAAAAACAGTCCATTTTACCTGCTTCAACGCTCAGACCCAGATACGTCAACAGGTTGTTTCTTTTGCAAAAGCAGTTTCAGATTTTGAGCATCAGAACCCTCAAAAAGTATAAGGTAGCAACATCAGTATGCCAATAGATGGTGTGTTACTCTGGGTGTTCTCTGGAAATGCAGCAGTTCTGAGATGTTTGTCCTAGTAGGGACATGTAGCTCTGAGATGTTTTCTTCTTTTTTGCGTGCATGCTGCCATATTCCCCTCAGTTTATTTTTACTCCTTGTAAGTTGTGTGAGAAGAAGTGAGGCTGGACGAAATAAATGCTGCAAAGTCTCACCACACCAGAACCCTGTGTCTGGTGCCTCTGTCTCCTCATGGAACACGCCTCACCCATCACCCCCAAAACACAAGGCAGAGTACCCGAGGTGTCTTCTACAAGACGCAGATGCACAGAGGGATAAACTGGGTTACATAAGCTTTGCCTTGAGCTTGACGCCGGTGCAATTTGCCCACAGTTAAATCTTTATTTTTTGTGTGTTAAAGAGGAAAATCTGCCCAAATTTATGCTAATAACTGCCAGGGCAAAAAAAGTGTCCTGTTTCAAAGCTCAGCGCTGTTTGAAACATGCGTTTAGCATCAGTTATGTTATTTTCTGTTCTCCAGTCTCATCATGACTCGCGTCGACTCTATTCACGTCGACACGCTCTCGGTTGTTTTTTGATCTAACTCAGTGCAGCGCTTCAGTAAGGGTGGGAACACCATCATGTGGCTGCCCAAAATGTATTTTCAAGACAAACACAATGCAGCACCGTGGAAATGGGTGAAATAAAATCACAAACACTCATCCTCGGTTTCCTGAAGTGTCGTGACAGTCAAGGCCACCTTCCTTCCCTCTATTAGTCAGAGCCGTAAATCAAGTCCATTTCGAGTCTGAATCCTGTCCTTCCTCATAGCCTCACAGTGTTGCCAGTTTATTGGATGTATCATATAGACTTTTACAAAGTAAAAACGAATGCTGCATTTGGAGTTTTTAAAAATGGTGGGTTTGATTGTTGTGAAGGAAACTATCTCATGATTGACATCACTCTCTGGCCAATCAGTTTCCTTCAGTCTGCTGACGTCACATCTTCAGCTGGACTCGGATCACTTGGCTTCCTAGGTCCTAAGAACCAAACAGAAAGTGGGTTGGACCACCCAATGGAAAGACTGAACTCAAGGTCGAGCCAATGAGAAAAAGCCGATATTTACCTCCTGAGAGCTACAAACTTTGTAGTTCTTCAGGAGGAGGAACAGAAGAAGAGGAGCAATCTGCTGCACTGCTGATTGCACTGAGGTGGAGGAAGTAGCTGCGAATGATGAGCTGAAGGTGGAGAAGAAAACTCATGCTAACTTCATTTTTATTGTTCGTCCCACAGGTGGAAGAGGAGTACAGCAACCCTCACAGCGTGGACAGAGTGGCCATGGGTCAGCTTCCACACATGTGGGGGCAGTCGCTCTACATTTTAGGCTGTCTTCTGGCTGAGGTAGGGAAAAGCTGTTGTCTAACACAAATAAATACGTATGCCATCATTTCCATAAACATGCTGTAGATATAATGTTCTGTTCCTTTTTTGTGTGTTTTTAAGGGATTTTTAGCTGCGGGAGAGGTTGATCCTCTCAACAGGAGATTTTCCACACACTTCAAACCAGATGTTGTGGTACAAGGTTGGCAGTCAGATCGGAAAAAAAAAAAGTTTCTCTTCTCTGAAACCTTCAGCTCAAATCTGAGCACTTTATAAATGAGTTCTTGTGTTTAACACCAATTTTTATTTAAAACATGCGCTGTAGAGGGCAGGGCACGACGTTTGATTTTGTTTGTTTGGCAGTTTGTGTCCTCGCGGAGTCGAAGGAGATCCAGGAGTTGTTAAGAGACCTTGGGATTGCGGTCCAGACGATATCAGAAGTTCTGCCCATCAGGGTCATGCCTGCTCGCATCCTGAGCCACGTCTACGTCAGACTCGGTATTCAACACTTTTCGGTTTAGCAAAACGCTGCACGTTTCTGTAAAGTGGGAGTTTAAAACTGATGCCGCCTTCACAGGAAACTGCAAGAAGCTGAATCTGAGCGGGAGGCCCCACAGACACATCGGAGTCCTGGGAACATCCAAGTTCTACGAGATCAGAAATCGATCCTACATTTTCACCCCTCAGGTGAGATATTCAGAACCACAATGACTTTTGATAATAATGATGAGGAGTGGGTAATATTTTGTGTTCTCTGTGCTCAGTTTCTGGATCAGCATCACTTCTACCTGGCCCTGGACAACCAGATGATCGTGGAGATGTTACGAACGGAGCTGGCCTACCTGTCTTCCTGCTGGAGGATGACGGGACGGCCCACTTTGACCTTTCCCATCACTCGCAGCATGCTGGGTATGAAGGCTCCTGAAGCATCTGCTCCATTTATTTTATAATCTGCATTCACTTTATTAGAGTTGATTGTTACCAGCTGATCAGCCAATCACACGGCAGTGACTCGGTGCGTTTAGGAATCCAGTGAAGACGACCTGCTGGAGTTAAAGCGGGCATCAGAACAGGGATAAAAGGGAATTTAAGTGATTTTGAACTTGGCGTCGTCGTTGGTCTTCATGTTAGAGAAACTACTGATCTGCTGGGATTTTCACCTCAACAATCTGTAGAGTTTATAGAGAACCGTCTGAAAATGAGAAAATATCCAGCGAGCAGAAGCTTTGTGGACGAAAATGAATCGTTGATGTCAGAGGTCAGGCTGGTTGGAGATGGAAGGAAACCAACAGCAGCTCAAGAAGCCACTGGTTCAACAGAGTCTGCAGAACACCATCTCTGAACGCACGACAGATGGACTGCAGCTACAGAAGTCCACACTGGTACCACTTCCTGTAAGCTAAGAGCAGGAAACTGAGGCTCACTAACCCCCCCGGACAATAAGAGATGGGACAAATATCTCCTGATCTTGAGTCTGGATTCACTGGGCACAAACAGCCTTCACGGTCACCAGATCTCAGTTCAATCCAGAACTTTTGGGATGTGGTGGAACCGGAGATTTTCATCATGGATATTCAGCTGGTACATCTGCAGCAGCAGTGTGATGCTAATATTATGCTAACATGTCAACATGAACCAAAGTCTCTGAGGAACGTTTGCAACACCATGTTGAAGGATTAAGGCAGAGACAAGACAGGTCCAACCCGGTACCAGCATTGTCGACCTAGTAAAGTGGTTGAAGTGTGTAAAGTTCTGCTTTTAGAAAATTACAACCCAAAATAATTTTCAGTGAGTTAATTAGAGAAAGCTCAAAGATGTACGAACAGCGTTCGGCACGTCTATGAGGGTTCCTTCACTGAGCTGGGAATTAATCTTTTAGTTATTTTGTATTTTTTGTTGCTGTTAGAATAAAGTTCTGTTCATTTTAGATCTTGGTTCTGCTGGAGGTTTTTTTTTCTTTTTAAAAGGGAGTTTTTCCTTTCCACTGTTGCCTTTGTGCTTGCTCGGGATGAGAGACTGCAACAAATTGAAGATTCAACGAGTCTGCTGCTTCCTCAGATAAAGAATTTTACTAATTGGCTTTTCTATGTATGTGAATGTTTCTGTAAAGTGTTGTGATTTGGCACTATATAAATAAACTGAACTGAATAGATCACAGACTTCAGTTCTTGAAGTTTCAATGTGTAAAACTGACAATAATTTTGTTTAGTAAATTAAAGGTGATAACCAATTAAATGTTAATTAGATTCCATTTCTTTTCTCTCAGTTGAAGATGGAGATGCTGTAGATCCCTGCATCGTATCAACTCTGAGGAAACTGCAGGACGGCTACTTTGCAGGAGCGAGGTTTGACATTTGTCCGTAAACTAAACCAAACTCCTGTTTAAACCTTAGTCCTGATTTTTACGTGGGTTCTGTTTGTGTTGGGACACCACAGGGTGCAGATGTCGGACCTCTCCAATGTTCAGACCACTTCTTTCCACACTCGCCTCACCTTCCTGGATGAAGACAACGATGACCTGTTTGACGACATGGAGGAGGAAGACAACGAGTTCAACCCCTCTGACCTCCCCGATGGTGAGCTAGAACAGCTCTGGTCAGTTTTAGGTTTTATTGGTTTGCTATGTTTGATTTAAATTTGGAGTTTGTGTTTTTATTCAGAGGGCTCTAAGGACGTGTTTGACCAGTACCTCACGCAGATCCTCCACAGCACCACCTCCTCCAAACGCCACCTTCCTCCCATCCAGAGGGGGCAGCACCATGTCTTCAGTCCTGAGCACACCACCAGAGACATCCTGTCTTTCATGGCTCAGGTCCAGGGCCTAAAAATGCCCAGTGAGTTTTACAGAATGCAGTAAATCAACTAAAGTCTGAGTCAGGCCAGATAAAGCTCAAGAACGCAGACATGATGCCTAAAATTTGGCAGTTATGTAAAATAAATTAGGTTAAATTAGGGAATTAAGTCCTCAAATGATCAAGTTGATCAAAACCTTAGTGTAAATGTTTGCTTCTATATTAGTGCTGTGTATTTAAACGTGTGGGTGTATTTCAGAGTCCTCCTTGTATCTACCGGTGACTCCGGTCATGAGCAAGCACCGCAAATCTCTTAACCTTCTTGTAGCTCCTCATCCTCCTCCTGGACCACAGGCCTTGCAGCCCAAGGTAGAAGATGTGTTTTTATTTTCTGGTCTTCGGACAGCTCTGAGCGTGTCTCTAACTCTCACACCTCCCTCTGCAGCACCTGAGCATTTCGGACCTGCACCTGCCACGAGACTCTCAGGGGAACACGGACTTTGCAGCGCTGGTGAAGCAGCTGAAGGAGTGTCCCACTCTGCAGGACCAAGCTGATATCCTCTACATTTTTTATGTTTTAAAGTACGCAAAGATACACAAAACTCCAACCCACCTGAACTGAACCGGGCTTCTTCGTGTAATTTGCTGTCCTGTGCTTTTGTGCTCTTGAACAGAGGAGCTGATTGGGTGGTGGAGTTGTCGGGCCCGGGTCAGGGTGGGGTCACCGTGCGTTCACTGTTGGAGGAGCTGTACATCCAGGCTGGAGCCTGCAAAGAGTGGGGGCTCATCAGATACATCTCTGGTGTTCTGCGCAAGAGAGTGGAGGTCCTCGCCGAGGTCAGTGACACATGAGCAAATAGGAGGCCAAATTATTACAGACTGACTGTTTTAGTTTTAAACTAATGAGATACATGTCATTAACTTAACAACGGAGTTAGATCAGCCTGATGAACTTCCACAGATACAAAACAAACAAAACTCCATGTATAAACATTTAAAAACAGGAAAAAGTGCTGAACACATCAAGGTTTGAGGCGGCTGGACCCAAAGATGCAGACTGACTCCAGATTTAATCAAAACAAGACACGTGCAGCTCATCGTACTCCCGTCGACACACTACCATACAGCAATCTATTGCAGTGGCCTGGACAAGCAAAGACCCTGTTTTAACTTTGACCTTGATTTGTGACCTTGACCTTGGAGCTGGGGTGATGAAAACTGCAAGCAGCTCTTCATCTAGTGATGATGCATGAAGTAACTTTAATAAAATTATTTTTAGCGGATCAGAGGTTTTGGGCCGGACAAGAAAGTTTACAGATGTGCGGAGACTACCGCGATATGTCCGCCTTTCGATGGGCGTATAACAAAACTAAACTTTGTGTTAACAAGAAACAAAAAACGCTGCACAATAAAAAACAAAAAATCAAATAAAATTAAGATAATATGGTGATGGTCTCAAGTAAAACATCACTCCTCTTTTTCACCGTCATCGTGATGCTCCAGTATGGGAGTGTCTTGTTCCGAGTGACGTGCGACAGAGCGGGAGGTGGATTCATGGATTGGGGCCTCCTCAGTAATGAGGGTATTGCCTCTGTCAGTCGTGGTGAAGAAAGATCTGAGTCTAAAGGTAAAGCTCTGGGTTTACTGGTCTGTTCCAACCCTCACCTGTCATGAGGTTTTGAATCAGGACCAGAAGAACCAGATCCTGGATCCAAGCAGCTGAACTGATCTTCCTTTGTGTGTGTGCGTGTGTGTCTCAGCCTTAGAGATAGGAGGAGTGCCGCCATCCGGGGGGAGCTCGGAGAAGAGCTGCTGCTCCTCTGCATGAAAGGAGTCAGTTGAGGAGGTTCATCTGATCAGGATGCCTCCGTTACACCATATTCTGTGACCACCGTATATTGTGACCGTAGGAGGCACTTTTGCATTTTTGCACCATACTTTGCAATATCTGATAAACGCTATCAAATTCTGTGACTGTCTATATTTTCATAATAGTCATGATATTAGTGGTCAGATGTTACTTTTTACTCCTTAGAGGAAGTAGAGAGTCAGCAGAAACAGTTTGGCTCAAGTATTTAATATTTTTCTATAAGTTACAGTGTGGTCACACTATCTGATAAACACTATCATATTCTGTGACCGTCTATATTTTCATAATAGTCATGATATTAGTGATCAGATTTAACTTTTTATTCTTTGGAGGAAGGAGAGTCAGCCTCTTCCTCCAAAGAATAAAAATTAACATCTGCCCAATAAAATCACAAATTTTATGGAAATATAGACGGTCACAGAATGATAGTGTTTATCGGGTATTTCAAAGTATGGTGTAAAAAAGCAATAGCGCCTCCTATGGTCACAATATACGGTGGTCACAGAATATGGTGTAACACCTCCCTGTGGAGGTTGTCCAGGCCTCCCACTGGGAGGAGAGTGACCCTTGGTCAGACCCAGAATTTGCCTCCACAACCCGACTTCATTTAAGATGTAGAAAATTAGATGCTCACAACAATCCTATGTACATTTTAGCCTTTAGCATTTCAGCTACATTTTTCTAAATCAGCTTTAGGATACTGGGGATCCAGCTGATGGCCATATTCATTATTTGTTTTGATCTGCTCTTTACGTTACGTTACTGATAATGGAGTTGTGTTTGAAACTACGCCTGTGTGAACGATCAGTGCTCAGTCCAAATAAAAGGAATGGGATGATGTGAATGATTTTTCTGGCTTCCTCTCAGGCGTGCACAGACCTGATCTCCCATCACAAGCAGCTGACTGTAGGCCTGCCGCCTGAACCACGAGAACAAGTGATCACGATGTAAGATGTCCCGCTGCCTCAGCGTTTGTTTTTGGACACTTGGATGAATGTGGTTGTGTTTCTCTGCAGGCCTCTTCCTCCAGAAGAGCTGAACACTCTGATTTATGAAGCCAGCGGTCAGGATATCAGCATAGCTGTTCTTACGCAGGTAAACCTTCAAACTTTTACCTCTGTTAGACTCTGGTCTTCTTCTGTGTGACCCGTTTGTGTTGGTCCTACAGGAAATTATGGTCTACCTGGCCATGTACGTGCGCTCGCAGCCCGCTCTGTTCGGAGACATGCTCCGCCTCCGAATTGGACTCATCATGCAGGTGATGGCCACGGAGCTGGCTCGCAGCCTGCACTGTTCTGGTAGGACGATACAAAGCCTTAAAGAATTGTTCAAGTGGAACCGAACGGTGGAAATAACAACCATGTGATGATTGTAGGGGAGGAGGCGTCTGAGAGTTTGATGAGCCTGAGTCCGTTCGACATGAAGAACCTGCTGCATCACATCCTCAGCGGCAAAGAGTTCGGAGTCGAGAGAAGCAGTGAGTTTTTACGCTTTTAACAGCGAAATGAGAATCCACTGGTGTTAGGACTCAACTCTGAGTTAGAGCCATTCTTGTCCTAAAGTCGTTTAATAAGACTAAATACCTTTGGCAGCCATCTTTAAATGGTTTTATCCCAAAAGTCTAGGCAGTTGCAGATGTACAGTTACAGTCGTGGAGGTCAAAGCAGATACAGGAAACAGCTCACTGATAACTGGTCGGCTTGACTGAAACTCACACAGTATGTCATATTTATGCTGTTATATTGTTATTAATGTAACATTACTATGTTATATTCAGCCGTTTCCTCATCGGGGTCTCCACAGTGAGTCCTCCTTCTCTGTCCTCTGTATCTGTCCTCACTCCAGCTCCCTCCATGTCCTCTCTAACTGTATCCATGTACAGTATATCTTCTTCGTCTTTTTCCTGGCAGCTGTATTTCTAACATCTTTCTACCAATATACCCACTGTCCCTCCCCTGGACATGTCCAAACCATCTCAGTCTGTCCTCTCTAACTTTATCTCCCAGTTGTTCAACCTGTGCTGTACCTCTGATGATCTCATTCCTAACCTTATCCATCCTTGTCACTCCTAAGGAGAACCTCAACATCTTCATTTCTGCTACTTCCAGATCTTTCTCCTGTCTTTTTGTCCATGTCTCCGTCTCCAGACCATACGACATAGCTGGTCTCAAATTTAGTGCTTGGAAACAAATGGTCCTGATTTAACCTTCACAGAATCGTGGCTGTGGTAGCTTCCGGCGTAAAGCCCCTAACCAAAGATTTCATGTGCGTTCCCGACCCCTGCAGGAAGGAGCAGCTGAAAGAAAAACAACTGTTCCTCACTAACGACTTGGGAACATTTTATTCTGGGAGAATGGCGTTCATATTTCCCTGATGGTGGAGAAAGTGAAGACAAGCGTCGGCTGTTTTAGATTTTTAAATATAACAATAAGCCACAGTTCAGGTGTGAGAACTGGAGTGAAATACTTGAAGTGTTTTCATTTCTGTTCTTTGATTTGTCCGTCAGTGCGTCCGATCCAGTCCACCGCAACCAGTCCTGCAATCTCCATCCATGAGCTGGGTCACACTGGAGCCACCAAGACTGAGCGCACAGGAATCCACAGGTTAAAGAGCGAGATCAAGCAGGTGCGAGGCTTCTCACCTCATCTAGTCTCATCCACTCTTCTCATCTTGTTTTCTTATCTTACCTCATTTAGTTTCATTATCTTGTTTCAATTCTTCAAATCTCATTTTGTCTCGTTTTGTTTCATTTGATCGAACCTCATCTCATTTATATTCTTATCTTATCTCTTACATCATTTCTTTTGATCTCTTATCAACTTGTCTCATCTCTTTCACCTTATCTAATTTTGTGTTTTCTCATATTTTCAAATCTCAGCTTCCTATTTTTTACCTTTTCTTTCCTGTATTATTTCGTCACTTCTGATCACCTCTTATTTCATTTTACGTGCTCTGTTTTTCTTGTCTCACTTGACGTTGTGTGATTGACGTTGTTCTTGTTCTGATTGCAGCTGGACGGCTCTCGACCGATCAGCGTGGGTTGGCTTTGATAACATTTAGCATGTTTCTAACTTCGGCCTAAACAGCCAAACCGCCGCCGGCTAAACTGTGTTTTTCAAACCGCTCTCTGGCTGTTAACATCATGTTTAGCTCAGCGCTCTCCTCCACAGCTGGAGCAACTTTCATCACATTATCCGTAGGACAACATGCTTTGTGCCTCTCGGTGAATACATCCATCCATAAAGTGCTTTTTGTAGAAGAGCATTAGACATAAAATCACTTTTCTTCAAAGTGTTTCAGCTCTTTGACCTAGACATTAAGCTGCTCCATGTTAGCATTTTTTCATGTATTGGGTTTTATTTTATTCAAATGCTCTTCCTTTTCAAACGTCTTCTGTATGTACACGTCTCTAAATGTCCTCTGTCCATGTCCCATGTGTAGATCTTCAGTGGCGGTCATTCCTTGAGTAGCAATGTCACTTCCCCTCGCTCAACGGTAAAACCTCTCATCTCAGCTGCAGCTTGTTCTGTTTGTTGTGATCAACATGAAGACTGTAGCATAAACCACAAGCAAATTGGTGCTTAAAGAATTTGTACCACATTTTGTGATTTCCAGTTACAGCCAGAAGTTTTCATCCACTCACGAGCATGAATGATATATCAAATTCAGCCTTTTAAATGTTTATTTTAACCGTTTTTGTCTTGAATCTACAAGAAACTTTGAAAAAAAAAATCTGGATGCAAAAGTTTGGGCTTTCTGTCATTCAGATCTCCAAAATAATGTGAAGTAAATGCCAGAGTTTATGAAAACTTCTGCCTGACAAGACAAAAACTTAATCCAACTGATTTTTCACGTTGAAGGTTAAGGATGGCATTGCCGTTAAAAAGACCCAAAAAACTGGAAAAAATACTTTTTCTGTACAAATTCAGCATAAATACTGAGAGTTGCTGAAATTTACTGAAGAGGCCTGAACCAAGTAGTTAAAGCTAAAAGAAGCAAAAGACTAGCTTACTCACAAGTAGTAAAACATGCTATAAGTTGCAAAAAGCTAGCAAAAATAGCACAAAAACGCTAAAGTACCAAAGACTCCGTAAAATTATTAAATGCTAGACAGAAAATTAACAAAAGGCCAACCGAGAAACTAAGAGACGAAACGTTTCTACATTTTTTTGTTGTTTTGCTTTGTTTTGTTTTTTTGAATGTCCAGAGACTTTTTTTAGATTTTTCTACCTGGATTATTGAGCATGCATCAGGATATTAAAACCTAAAGTTAGCAAAAAGCTACTGCCAAGAGGCAAAAAAGCTTGGTAGGCTAAAAGTAACAAAAGGCTAGCTATAGTGTAAAATAGAATTTAGCTAGCTGTTGGCAAAAGGTTAGTTATACAAGTATGACTTTAGTTAAAAGGTAAAAATAGCAAAAAGCTATTTAAATGAAAAAGCTACAAGATTAAAGTAGCAAAAGGCTAGATAAAAGTAGCAAAAGGCTAGCTAAAAGTGTAGGTACCGAATCCTATCTAAAAATACCGACGGCTAGCCAAAAGATAATAAAAAGGCAATTTAAATAAAAAGGCAATTTAAAGTAGCCAAAGTTTAGTTAAAAGTTAAAATTAGTAAAATGCTAGCTAAAAGCTAAAAGTAGCAAAAGGATAAATAAAAGCTGAATGTAGCAAAAGGCTACCTAAAAAAAAAAAATCAAAAAGCTAAATAGTAGTTAAAAGTAGTAAAAGGCTAGCTTAAGGGTAAACGTAGAATTTAGCTAGGTTATAGCTAGCTAGTAGCAAAAGGTTAGTTAAAATGTAGCAAAAAGCTAAATTAAATCTAAAGGTTACTAAAACTAAAGACTAAAGGTAAAACTAGCAAAAGACTAGCTAAAAGCTCAAGTATCAAACTACCTAAAAATACTGACAGCAAGGATAATAGTAACAAAAGGCAAGTTAAAGTAGCCAAAGTCTATTTAAATAGTAAAAGGCTAGCTAAAAGCTAAATGTAGCAAAATGCTAATTAAATATATTAAAGACTAGCTAAAATTTAAATGTAAAAGATTAGCGTGAAGTCAAAAGTAGTTTGGCTAGCTGATAGCTAAAACAAGCAGAAAGTCATCCAACAGCTAAATTTAGCAAAACAGTAATTTGAAGCTAAAAGTAGTATATGAAGGCTAAATCAGAGCCTGTGGTTCTGGCAGATTTTAAAGAGTATGTTTTTGAGGAATCAAATAGATCTCAATGTATTTTATGGTAAAATGTTTGTAAACAAAGTTCAATACTTTAAAAAGTACAAAAGATTCAAAAATCAAAAGTTACAGCAGCCACCTCTGTAAAGATCTGAACGTTTTGATGTAGGAAACCAACAAAATAAATGGTGCCGACTCAGATTTAATCTTTCATCAAGTTGTAGTTCTGTTATTTAAATAAAATTAAAAACATTATTTTCCCATCAGAGGAAACAATAACAGTCTAAATATTCAGATTTTCTTCTGTTGATATTAAAAATGGTGAACACTGCCAGCCTTCTCCTTAGAGGACTAACACGATGTCATGATCTGCATGAGTCACTGCACGAGGAGTGACGGTCATTTAAACAACGTTTTTCCGACTCGTGAACATGTTTCTGTCACTAATCTTTTCAGTGCACCGAATGCGTCTCCACCAATCAAATCTGGGAACTGCGGTGGTTCTAACATAAACCACAGCTGCGTGGGGAAACGGATTTAATGCTGCCAATGTTTCCTTACGACAGCGCTGCAGCAGCCCCTCCACCCCCAGCGGCATACTGTCCCCCGTGGGTCACGGTCCAGGAGACGGCCACTTCCACTGGGAGGAGAAGCAGGGCCAGTGGCTGAGGCGGCGCCGACTGGACGGAGCCATCAACAGAGTCCCCATGGGTTTCTACCAGAAGGTGTGGAAGATCCTGCAGAAGTGCCACGGCCTGTCGCTCGACGGATACGTCTTACCGTCCTCCACCACGAGAGAGGTGAAGCCGACGCCTCCGAGCTCGTTAGAGTTTACCTCTGGGTCTAACTCTTGTTTCTGTGCAGATGACAGCAGGGGAGATCAAGTTTGCAGTGCAGGTGGAGTCTGTCCTGAACCACGTCCCTCAGCCCGAGTACCGGCAGCTGCTGGTGGAGACCATCATGGTCCTGGGCCTGGTGGCGGACGTAGACGTGGACAACATCGGAGGAATCATCCACGTGGATCGAATTTTACATTTGGCCAACGACCTTTTCCTCAACGATCAGGTACCTCTGCTGACCTGAATGACTGCTGAGAAAAGGCTAAAGCAGCTGAAATGATACATTTCAAGCAAGCAGAGGAGAGAAAAAGCCAAAAATGCAGCGAAAAGCTAAATTTATTAAAAATGCATTTAAAAGCTAAAACTAACAAAAGGATATCTAAAAGGTTCAAACCACCCAAATGAGATAAAAGCTAAATGTAGCAAGACAAAATCTTAAGTAACAAAACTGTGGAGAAAATTAGGAAAACAGTGGCTAAAATGTAAAAATAGGAATCGGTTTCTAAAAGTGAAATCTATTTTTTTTTTTTAAAGTATAGCTAACAACAAAAATGAGTAAAATAAGAAAAAAGCTCAAATTAAAAAAGTTACAATAAAAAAAAAAATCTGAAAGTTAAATTTATTAAAACTGTAGCTAAAAGCTAAAATTAACAAAACTAGCTTAAAGTGGCATCACGGTGGTGCAGTTGGTAGAGCTGCTGCCTCTCAAGAGAGCAGGTCGCTAGATCAAATCCCAGCTGGGGGCCTTTCTGGGTGGAGTTTGCATGTTCTCTCCGTGCATACGTGAGTTTTCTCCGGGTACTCCGGTTTCCTCCCACAGACCAAAAACATTCATGTTATGATTGGTGACTAATTGTCTCTAGGTGAGAGTGAGAGAGTGAATGGTTGTTTGTCTCATTTGTCTCTGTGTCCCTGTGATGGACTGGAGACCTGTCCAGGGTGTCCCCCGCCACTCCCACGGTGACTGCTGGATATGGGCACCAGTGACCCTAAAAGAAGATGCGGGTAAAGTAAGTGGGTGGATGGATGGAGGGACGGATTGATGGATTTTCAAATCACCCAAATGAGATAAAAGCTAAAATAAGCAACAGCAGCTAACAGTAGCTAAAAGTTGGAGGCAGTTTGCCAACTTCAGAGTACGGTCTCGACGTGTTCCTGTCGAGACAATATTAAATAGGAAATAAAATAGAAATTACAAAAAGGAGTTATTTTTAGTGGGACTATTAGTTCATTAAACAATTTGGCAGGGTGTGTGGTTGTCATGACGACCTTAAAGACCCACCTGCGTGAACATTTTGTTCTGCTACAGTTTGAACAATCTAAACGTGGTTATTTCTCTTTAGATTTTGTTCTTGGACATTTTTTGTTTCAGGGTTTTCTTCAGAAATGTTCTGTGCCTGTGCGCGCTCGTTAAAGTTGATTAATCTGTCCCAATCTCCAGAAATCCCTCAGTGCCAGCGATTATTTCCTGGAGAAGGACCCGGCCACCGGGATCTGCACCTTTTTTTACGACAGCGCCCCGAGCGGCAGCTACGGCACCATGACGTACCTCTCCAAGGCGGTGACCACGTACGTGCAGGACTTCCTGCCCGGCTCCAGCTGCCTGATGCAGTGAAGAAGAAAACTTTCATCACGTTGGACTTATTCTGACTTCTGAATGTTCTGCTGCAGCATCCCAGATTCAGCAGCTTTTTATTTTGTCGTCAGTCTGCCGTTTAAATATTTATTAACTTAAGTTTGACAGTGTTTAAATTTAAATGTGTAAAGACACGAGCCCAGCTGTGCACTTTTAAAAATACTTATGAGCAGTTTGGTTTCTAATTTATTTAATGTATCAGATTATTTAAAATCGGTGAACATTCAGAGATTGTAAGGATTTATCCAAGTTATTAAGTTTATTTTAAAAACAGTAATTCTATTTTTTAAAAACTTTAATTTATTGATAATGCACTGAATTAGCTAATATGTTTATGTTGCTGTGTTTGTATTTTTTTACAGTCGATGCTAATCTATCGTTTGAACGGTTTACGTTTCCTCATCAAATTCACGGTTTGTTGGCGTTTGCTGTGAAAAACATTGTGTGCTACAGCGTCATACTCACTGAAGAATATTTTTACTCTGAAATCTTAGCATTTGTACTATTTGTCGTCACATTAGCAGATTATAATATACTGTAATAGCCTGCTTCTCATATGAGCATCAACCACCGACTCACAGGTGAACTTGTACCTTTTCCGTCCGACTGATGCACCCGACATCCCGCTGTGTGACCTGAGAAGGGTCAGTCTGCTCGGCTTTGTGTAAAAATGCTGCTGAGCGTTTCTGTAAAACCTGAACTCGACACGAGGGACAGACCTGCTAATAAAAATATACACAACAGAAACGTCTGTTCCTTAATCAAAAAATACTCGAACACTTTGAGCCTTTTTTTAAATAAAACCGACTTCATATTCTTATTTTGAAGAAAATCCACTTTTAAGGAACAAAAGCGCAAATTATTATATCTAAAAAAAGTCAAATCTGGTTCTCTGGACATTCAAAATTAAAAAATTATTATATATATAATAATTATAATTTACATGTTGAAATTATTTCATGTTTAAAGTATCACTTTTTTTCCACAAATGTCTCTCGAGTGCTGATTATTAAACAAATCTTTGTAGTCGTGGTTGAAAATGTATAAGAAACGAAACGATCATTTTTTTTTTTTAAATTTATTTAACCTTTACACAGTCTTATTGAGTCACAAGGACTCATTTTCAAGAGAGCTGTTTGGGAGCAGATGGTAGGGGTTAAGGGCCTTGCTCAAGGGCTCAGAGGGGACAAATGAGGGTGGAGGCAGGTGTGGGTGCTTCACCTTTCACACCCACATTTTGACGTCGTCGGTCCAGGGAGTTGAACCTGCGATCTTCTGATCACAGGCCCACCTTCTCTAACCTCTGTGCACCACTCCCAAAATATGACCCGACATCTGCTAAAACATCATTTAAGCTACTGAAGAGGATTTCACATCATCACGTGTATCTGACTTATTATGGAGCTGAAGTTTGTGGTGGTAGTAGCCGACAGTCGTCCAGATCCAGCAGGATCATATTTCAGAGGTTTAGTCAAAATGACAAACACATTTCTCAACACAAGTTGTTTTGAAACTGGAACGAAGGCAGCAGGACATTACGCTAAAGGGATTACGGCTAAAGAAAGAAATGTTTGGATTTTTAGAACTCAGACTTTAATCTAAAACCTCAAACAAAAATAAAATCTGAGGGGGGGGGGGGGCAGATTCAGCCTTTTTTTTCAAACAAGAATTTTAGAACAAAAAGGCTTATTTTTTTCTGATAAAATAAAAATTATAATCTTTAATAATCCTCTTTCAAAGATTAGAGTCGCAGTGAATGAAGAGAAAAACTTTTCCTCAGAATTCAGAGGAAATGTCATAAATCAACAATAAAAGTCTAAATTGTGACCTTAGTTTAAGGACTCAGACCATAATCAGAAATATTACTTTCTTCTTTTCAGAATTCTAAAATTCTGAGATTAAAATCTTTATTCTGAAAAATTCTCAGAATTTTGACTTTTATTTTTTAGTCCTGAGAACAAACGAATTACGAGCATATTTTCAGCGTTGCCTTCATCCCTTTCTGGGCGATATGCATTCCTTCAAGACTTAGTATAAAATAGTTGTTTAGAAAAAACACTTTGTTCTGAAATTCTGACGCGTCTCATCTCAGATTTTCTTGCCGTTCTTTGTCCTTCGACTCATTTTCGGCTGTTTTTCAAAAGTCCTTGTTTTCGTCCATCTTCTCATTGGCCTGTGGGTTCTTCACGTCCAGCTTGTGGACCACCCTGAAGGCCTCCAGGAACTCTGTGAAGTCGATGCCGCCGTCCTTGTTGAAGTCGATGCTGCGAGCCAGGTCGTCGATGGCTCCGTCGTCGACGTCTGCCCCCAGGTGAGCGCTGAACAGGCGCCAGGTGTGGCGAAACTCCTCGATGGAGATCAGACCTGAGCACAACACCACGAGACGGTCACTCCCATCATCTGGAGGAGGACAGACAGCTGTTTTTACTCACCTGAGTGATCTTTGTCGATGATGTTGAAGACTATCTCCAAGTCCGTCCGATATCTGAACAGAGTTTCAGCCAAATTCTGGGCGACCTAAAGGCAGAGAATGAAGAGGAACCAGAGGAACCCAGGTTTCTGTTCAGTGCCGTCGTTTGGTTGAAGCTTCAGCAGGAAAATGTCTCAGATTAACCATTAATATTTAAAATGTTCTTTTCAGCACAGAACTTTGTTCATCATCCCACCATACAATCCACTTTGTTACCTATTCAGTATTTGTGCTATTTTACCTCTTCATATATCAAAACGTTCGGCTCTTTCAGCAGATGTTGCTGTGACTTTTGGTTTTGTAACATAAAATATTTAACTTCATTGATAACATTTTCCCATATATATGTTAAAATATCTTCAGTAATTTCAAAAACGTACTTTTTGAAATCCGTTTCACTGTTTTTGTCTTGTATTATTATCAATCAACCTTTATTTATACAGGTAAATCCCATTGAGCCTCGAGGACTCATTTACAAGAGAGACCTGATTTCAACAAAGAAAGATGACAACAATGGACAACAGCAACAACAATAAGCAGTTATAAAAAACTCATACTACAGTTTGGTTTTTTTTTTTTTTTTTTTTTTAACAAATAGGATGGCTAAAAGGAAAAAGGTAACAAAACAAAAAAAAACAGCTAGATTCCAAGACAAATGTAGAAAACTAAAAACAGGAACATGTCTGCATTGGACCCTGCCAGGAGTCCAACAGATTCTTAAAGCCACTTAGAGAGGTCAAGGTCGAGAGCTTCAAATCTTTTTGTAAGATATTCCAGGAAACAGGAGCTGAGTAGGAGAAGGCCCTTTTGCCTAGTTCAGTCCTCACTGAGGGAGCACTGCAGGTAATAATGTCCTGAGAGCCCATCAGCTTTTAACTAACCTTTTGCTATTTTAAGCCAACTTGCAAAATTTAGCATTTATCTACATTTTTTGTTTGAATGTTCTGCTACAATTAGCTATAAGCTAACCTTTTACTACACTTTCTTTTTAAAGCTTTTAGGCTAATTTTACCTTTGAGTTACCTTTTTTCTACATTTAGCTTTTAGCTAATGTTATACTACATTTAGCTTTTAGCTAGTCTTTTGCTACAATTTGCTATAGCTTACGTTTTGCTGCATTTAGCTATCATTTTGCTTCTTTAATCGTTTAGCTAACCTGTGCTACTTTGGGATTTTAGTTATTTAGCTTATTTAGCAAACTTCAGCTGTAATTTATCTCCCGTTTCCTTCTGACCTGGGGCAGAGGAAGTCCTGGTCCCATGTCCTCAAAGCAGGACCGATACTCAACGTTGCCATCGGCTGTTAGACGGGCCAAGTGTGGGCGAAGGGTCCTCCAGGGCAGGTCCAGTCTCAGGACGGACTCCAGCACCTGAGTCCACTCACTGACCGACACACTTCCTGTCAAAACAAAAACATTTTCCATGAATCGGCCGCACGTTAACAAACACGTGTTTTTAGAAACGGATCAGAAAGACGGCACCGGTGTCGTTCTGGTCTTTTTGCTGGAAGCCGGCTATCAGCTCAGAACGGTGGGTAAACAGCTTCTCCTTTAAGGCCCGGAGAGCAGAACCTTCTGCTGCTCGGACCCTGGACACATGAAGGTAAACGCTCGTCAGAACTGCACCCGCATCCGTCGTCCTCAAATGCTGGAAATGGAGCACAAGCAGCGTCGTACCTCTGGGTCAGGGTGAGTCTGCGAGTTGTGCGGCTGACTTGGTACTGGTAGAACCGAGGAACCATTTCTCTTCCCAGTTTGATGTAGGCGCCGCGGTTGCTTCCGTCCTCATAATAGTTGGAAGCAGAGAAGATTGTGATCACCTAAAGCAGAGCGGACATGTTTTCTTGGTGTTCGATGTGTAGAACTGTACGAATTTGTCGTTTCGTACCCGCCCGTCATGGCAGAGCTCGTATCCTTCCTGCTTGCACTCGTGGGAGCGGATCAGCAGCTGCAGGCCGTGCTGCAGCAGCAGCCTCTGGGTCACATCTGGGCCGAAGTAGCAGCCTCCACCTCTGAATGTGTTGGGATTGCAGCCCTCCTGGGTTTTAGGGTCGCTCCACAGTATATCCACAATCTGCCACAAACGGAGATAAACATTAAAACAGCTAAACCATCGCATCAAGACGTTCTGGACTTCCTCCTTTCACCTGTTTCCATTCCTGTTCACGCTGTGGAGGAGTTGGAAGAGGAACGGAGGACAGGGAGTCCAGGAAAGGCACCTGGAGGACGTTATGAGGCATGCTGGGAGAAAATGGGCACGGACGAGGCGAGATGCAGAAAGGAGATCTTGGAGAGCACAGTGAGGAAGAGGAGGATGATGATGATGATGATGATGAGGAGGAGGAGGAGATGGCGCTGTCTTGTCGGCTGAGTCCATATCTTGTCTTTCTGTGAAGGAAAAGGAATGAAAGCTCTGATAACCTCCGACCTCTGAATGTCTGAGCGGTCTGACCTCTGGCTGGGCGTTCTTTGGCTGCTGCTGGGATGGGAACCATCTGTCGATCTTATTCTTTTGGTCGGTCTGTAGGATTGACCGATGTCCAGCTGCTCCAAAGTGCATCGAGGAAACTTCAGGGCAGATTTCACCTGAAACAACCAAAACCAGGCAGAGCTCAGGACTGAGCAGACTATAAAACCTAAAAAAGACAAGTAATTTTCAAAAAGACACCCTTCTTTACGGATTCTGGAAAGACTCACGGGCTCGACTCGGCCCTACTGGGGTCAACCTGGTGTGGGGTCAGAGGCTATCCATTGGGTGGTCCTGCACTCTTCCAACTTGGTTTTAGGGCCTACCCAGAAGAGGTTCTAAGTAAGCCATGTCTAGTCAAAGTTTTGAAATCAGCAGGCTGCAGATGGTTGACCACGAGCCATGTCATTGGACGAGTCAGGAGCGATTGCTTTAAAACCGCCTCATGACTTTCATTTATCCAATGTCTTTTTTAAATTATTAAGTCTCACAAGCTTTCTCTGGCTCACCATGACCTCGATGCTCCGAGTCATTTGGTGTCGCCAAAGAATGACATCAGAGGAGTTTTGAGCAGCTTCACCATGAAGATCGCGCCCACATCAAGACGGCACTCAGTTATACTAAACATCAGAGTGTAGAACTGAGCTAGGGGGAGCTTCACTCAACGCCTGAAAAACAGTTTGGAGTACAAACAGACTGCTTTCAGCTGTTTTTTTTATGTTTGCGCAAATTGCAGGATTTGTCAAACCATCTAAAGACAATTGAACGTATCAAACTCCTGTAAAACTTTAAAGAGTTAAAGAGAAAAACCAACATGGGCGACAATCTGTTCACTGCTGCTGTAGTCTGCACAGCTATCTGCTCTTCTGATGTTACTTCCTGTGTCCCGCCCCCTCTTCTTCATTGGCTGTTGGCAACACCTTCACAGTTGGGTCAGTAATCAGTTCTTACCATCCGATCATAGTGACACATCATAACTAGGAGGAGGACTGGAAGCCAGAAGTTGAAGCCATCGTGGACAAGCGCTGCTTTGGGAATGGCTCTGGGACAGTTGAAGCCCCGCCCATTCCATGTAAATAAATAAGACACTTTCTTGTCTAAAGAAATTAAAATTACACTTCCGATCGTTTTTAAAGCGACTGATTTTTAGGAATTCAACTCTTACTTTGCTGCTAGATGCTCAAATATGCGTGTGCCAATATATGGTGGGTCTGGGTCTTTAAGTACCGGGAGTCTTGATCCTCGTTGCTTGTGAGTCATGTGCACTCGCCACACAATGGAGCGGAAAGCCAGAAATATTTCTGACTTGAGGAGCTCACAAATTGGAAATTGGACAATTTGTGTAATACTTTTGAGACACGTATACTCGCAACCGTCCTCTCCAAGCCTCTACCATCTGTGCACCTGGCTTGGTTCAGGTGTGCACAATAAATACAGTTTGTTTGTAGTTCATGCATTTTGGAGTTTTAGCAAGGCCCATAGAATTTCCATGTGCAACATTAAACATCTCCATGGCCAGTCTGTGACCTTCTACAAGACTCAGCACACGCAAGAAACACAAATTTCAAGCAGGTTCCCTGCAGATGACCTCCCTTTTCAAACAGCCACGACTGCCATTGATTGATAACAGCTAGAGGTCAAAGGTCATCCACACTCACCTTGTTCCTCTCTATAGAACTCAGAAAGTCCAGGTCAGTCTGGTCTGAGATTCCTCCGTGAACAATCAGAACCTTTCCGTCAATGACTGTGGCGATGGGCAGAAGACTGAAAACATCCTGAAACAGCTGGAGGATCTCCCGTCCATGAGTCTGCAGACAGAACCGCTCAGTGAATGCAACTAAACCCAACAAATAACAGACAATAAGTTCAGTCTGTAACAAAGATGCTTCTAGACTCTACCGTACCCGGTACTTCTGCATGACTTCTTTTGTAAACCCATATCTGAAAACCAAGGACAAGTGTGGTAACTTTAGGAGATTGTTGCTCTACCTTTGTTGTTGTTGTTGTTGTTGTTGTTGTTTAGCCCACCTGAGGTTCATGATGTGGTCCTCGTGGTTTCCTCGGTTCAGGTGCATGTGGTCGGGGTACAGCAGAACGTAGGCAAACAGGAGGACAACAACCTCCACAGACTTTTTCCCACGATCCACAAAGTCCCCGTTAAAAACGTACGGAGTCTCAGCTGAAGGAAGCCCGTTCTAAAGACCAACACAACCCCCACCCAAAATGATTGGAAACGTTCAGTGAGAATGCTGAGTCAGCATTTTCTGTTTTTTTTTTTTGTATGCAATTGTTTTAACAATCCACCTACTTTTGCTATTGACTTTTTTTTGCCGCTTTTATTACAAATCGTTCGGCTCTTTCAGAAGAAGGGCGCTGTGACTTTTGGTTTGGGTAACTTTTATACTTTTAAAAATATTTAACTTTTTTCTTTCCCCATAGAAATACGTTCTCTTTGAAATCTGTTTCAGCTACTGACTGTTTTTGTCCTCCTATGCTACTTTTACCTAGCCTTTAGCTCCATGTACCCTTTATCCAACAATGTTCAGTCAGGTCATCTGGACAGTTCCTTATTTTGTTGAGATGTTTCTCCCTCCATCCGAAGGGCTTCATCATTCTGAGGAGTCACATACAAACCGTTTTCCCCACCAAGCAGTACACTCCTACAGTGGACAAACCAGTTTGCTGGTAATAAGATGGTTTCTGGGGGCTGTCCTCTCCCCCGTCGACACTTCCCAGGCAACAACAGCAAAAGTGGTTCAAGACATCAAAGTTCATGCGCAATAATCCGGGTAAAGAAATCCAATAATGTTCAGTCGGGTCATCTGGACAGTTCCTTTTTTTGTTGTTGAGATGTTTCGTCCTCGATCCGAGGTGTTGATGGGGGAGAGGACAGCACCCAGAAACCATCTTATCACCAGCTGGTTGGTCCACTGTAGGAGTGTACAGCTTGGTGGAGAAAACAGTTTGTTGGTGACTCCTCAGATTGATGAAGTCCTTCGGATCGAGGGCGAAATGTCTCAACAAAAAAGGAACTGTCCAGATGACCTGACTGAACATTGTTGGACTTCTTTTCCTGGACTATTGAGCAGGAACTTTGATGACATGTAGCCTTTAGTTAGCCTTTTGCTACTCTTTGCATTTAACTAGCTTTTTGCCACTTTTAGCCATTAGTGTTTTGCTCCTCTTAGCGTTCAGTTTTATTTAGCAAAGTTTAGTGAAGTCCTTCAGGTGCATTTTTGCAGAAATGCTATTTTAACTTTTTATTTGTTTGAATTTATTCCTGACGTAAATAAATGGTCTGCGTCTACTTTAAACTCGTTACCTTGTAAAAAATAAGCAGTAAGTCATCGAGCCGTCCGTGCAGATCTCCTGCAGCAGAAGAAAAATCACAGCAGAGATCAGAAATATGAAGTTTTATGCAAACAGAACCTTAACCGGCTCCACTTCAGCACTCTGCTTTTGTTTTGTTTGTCGAGTATTCTTGAGTTTAATGAGATGAGGCTCGACATGAAGAAGCAGCTGGGGAGGAGATGATAAGTGTCTCGTCCGAGTGTAAATAAACTGCATCCTTCGTCAGCTGGACTTCACCCACGTTTGAAGACGTGAGCAGGTTCTTCAGGGGTTCTCTGAGGCCCAACATGTTCTGCTGAAACATCCTGATGAGCCTAAAACGTGTCCACGCTTCACTCACCACAGATAGTGATGTCCTTGGTGTAGGACGTGGACAAGTGGACGATGTTGGGCATTTGTTTCAGGAGCTTCTTGGTTTCATACAGCAGCTGCAAGACATACCGGGCATGCAGAGTCTACAACAAAAACAATATTAGCCCAAATGTAAAACTGACCAGCAGAGTTTGAAAATGTAAATGTAGCATTTGTTACCTGGTGCTCCTTGAACGCAGCGAGGAGGGCGTTTGTGTCAGAGACAGCGAGAGGAAATGAAATTCTGGGTCCGGTGTAAGACTCCGGGACGGAGATCAGGTTGAAGCAGGTCTCTCGGTCTAACCAGGGGTCCACCACAGGGTCCAGCAGCTGGGAGATCAGATCTGGAGGAAGAAGTGTGTGGAGATGTATAAACACAAGTTGGGGTAGGTTGAGTTAAAAAATTATTTTAAAGAAAATCTGTTTCTGAATGTTTTTGGTGATCATCTCCTTGACGGGAACAGTTCAAGCAGAAGGTGTGCAGGTGCGTGGAGTCCTTCGTGATGTTTGCGGCACAGCGATGGTAGCACGGACCAGCGATGACATCCAGGGTGGGCAGGGGGTGACCAAAGATTTTTTTCTCTGGCCTTGACGACATGCTGGTTGTTTTTCCTGAGTATTCTCAGCAAGAGAAAATTCTGTTGTGCTGTTTTTATATTTACAACTCCACAGGTGTTCATTGTCCAGGTGAGAGCCTCAGAAATTATACTGCCCAGGAATCTGCATATGTCCACCCTCTCAACACAAACCCCATGTAGGTGGATAGATGAAGGTTCAGCACCCATAATCATCTGTTTTGAGCACCATTCTGCCAGTCGTTGGCTCTCATCCCTGTAGGCAGACTTATCTCTGATGAAATTCTTTGTTGAAATCAGGTCTCTCTTGTAAATGAGTCCTCGAGGCTCAATAGGATTTACCTGTCTAAATAAAGGTTGAATGAATGAATCTCCCCTGGAAAGAGTCTCACCATAACGGTATCATCTAATTATACATTTTACCAATAATACATTTTATTTAGAGGTGCCTTTATGACACTCAAGGACACCAAACAAGCAACATGTACATATAAAAACATTAAGATACTAAAACATGCATATAAAAAAACATCAAAATACTTAAAACACAGCAAACGAACAAGACAAAATTCTAATCAGCTTGGATAAGCAATCCTGAACAGATGAGTTTTGCGTCTGGACTTAAAGAGAGGGAAAGAGTCCAAAGTTTCTTATTTCTGGCGGCAGTGAGGTCCAGAGCTGGGGGGCAGAGCAGCTGCACGGTGGAGAAGTGGGTGACAGGAACAGTGAGGTGGAGAGATGAGGCAGATCTGAGGGAACAGGATGGAGTGGCAGAGGAGGTCAGACAAATATAGAGAGGCAAGATTATGGATGGCAGGATGGATGCGAACAGAATAAATTAATGTGAAGTTTGACTGTTTAATGTAAAAGTCTGATGAAAACCAAGATCAGGTTCATTAATTAGTTGGTACAGGAGGAGGGTGGGAGAACAGAGTTGGGTTTACTGGAAAGGTAGAGCTGGATGCCATCCACATAATAGGAACGGATGTCATATTTGCAGAAAATACAACCACTGGGAAGCAGGCAAATACTGAAGAGGAGGGGCCCCAGGATAGAGCCCTGGGGCACACCGGTGGTTATGGGGGACAGCTTGGAAGCAAAAAATTGAAGCTGAACGAATTGAGAGTGCCCAGAAACATCTGATGTAAAACAGTCTTGTGAGGTGTGTTAGATAAGTCTATGGAGGAGGATGGAGTGAGATGTTGAAGGTTGTGGTCCAGAGAATGAAGATGGAGAGTAAACTGGAGTCTGCTGCCATGAGAAGGTCGTTACTGATTTTTATTAGAGCACTTTCTATGTTGTGGAGGAGACGAAAACCAGACTGGAATTGTTCATAGAGATTATAAATGATAAATTGATTAATTTTATTAAATTTATTAAATTGAATAAATGATTGATAAATGAGAATGGAGTTGAGCAACAACTTTTTTTTGAGGATTTTGGAAAAAATATAAATTTGAGAATCGGCAGAAATGATTAAAGTTAGTTGGGTCAGCACCGGGTTTTGAGAAGGAGGCAACTTATCTGTGCCATCCGTGCTCTTTTCTCACCTCATATGCGTCAATCCTGATATTAGCGATTTTCTGTTCTGGGGCGGCTGTGGCTGAGTGGTTAGAGCAGTCGTCCACCAATGCAAGGGTGTCCATGGGCAAGACACTGAACCCCTCAATGTCTCTGATGTGTGTCCCATCGGTGTATGAATGTGATCTAAAGCTCTGATTAGTCTCTTTAGAATGATTTGCTCAATTAGCTTTGTAGAGAGCTAGTAGTGTTGTATGAATGGGTAAATGAGGACGCAGATTGTAGTGTAAAGCGCTTTGAGTATCTTGATCAGGTAGAAAGGTGCTATACGAGTACAGTCCATTTACCATTTACATATCTTTCCCTCACAAGAGTCAAAGGTCAAGAGTATCTTATATAGCTACATTTACTTTGTTTTGAAGCCATTTTTGGCTGGTGTTTGCCTACCTAGATGCAATATCCCATTATACATCCAGCCGAGCTATGTGGGAACCACGACCCACTGTCCCTCCTCTGGACATGTCCAAACCATCTCAGTCTGGCCTCTCTAACTTTATCTCCCAGTTGTTCAACCTCTGGGTGGCATGGTGGCACTGTTAGTAGAGCTGTTGCCACTCAGTGAGAAGGTCGCCGGTTCAAATCCTAGCCGGGGACCTTTCTGGGTAGAGTTTGCATGTTCTCTCCGTGCATGTGTGGGTTTTCTCCGGGTACTCCAGTTTCCTTCCACAGATCAAAGACATGCATGCTAGGCTGATTGGTAACTCTAAATTGTTCCTAAGTGCAAGTGTGAATGGTTGTTTGTCTTGTTTGTCTCCATGTATCCCTGTGATGGACTGGAGACCTATCCAGGGTGTACTCAGTCACTTACACAGTGATAGCTGAACATGGGCACCAGAGACCTCCATGACCCGAAAAGAAGTGGACGGATGGCCAGATGTTCAAACTGTGCAGTACAGTAGTCCCTCGATACTTTGTCGTTCAACTTTCGCGGATTCACCCTTTCGTGAGTTTTCAACGCAACATTGTACACATTGTTTCCCAGCGGCCTGATCTGCTCAATGATCACAGAGGGGCCTCCCTCTTTTCTTTTTCTGAGGATGTCTGTCACAGCAAAGCAGAGAAACACAACAGGTGGGCGCACAACCTGTGACAGACGGCCTCAGAAAGAGAAAGGAGGGGGTGGGGTCTGGCTTTCCCCAATGCTGCTATGGGAGCTTCAGTGAGGCAGATAACAGAGTGAGTGGCATGGATTGTTTATTTAAAATAATTGAGCCTTAATCCAATCCGAGCCGACCCAGGATATATCCCAAACCGGGAAATGTCCCGGTGTTCCCGATGCCAGTCTGCCCCCGGTGCCAATTGGCTCAGTAACCATAGCATCAGTCTGTCTGCTCTCTCTTGCTGTGCTCTTTTAGAGCATTTAGAGAGTTTAAAACATTGTTAAGAACATTGCAATAGTGCAGGAAGGGTTTATAAAGCCTTAAAATATATAACGTCCGTTCTTTGTGGATTTTCACAATCACGGGGGTGTCTGGAATGTAACCCCCGCAATAAGTGAGGGACTACTGTACCTCTGATGATCTCATTCCTAATCTTATCCATCCTTGTCACTCCTAAGGAGAACCTGAACATCTTCATTTCTGCTACTTCCAGTTCTGTCTCCTGTGTTTTTGTCCATGTCTCTGTCTCCAGACCAGACAACATAGCTGGTCTCACCACTGTCTTGCAAACTTTTCTTTTGACCTTTGCCAACAACCTTTTGTCACAAATCACTCCTGAAACTTTCCTCCATCCACTCCATCCTGCTTGGACTCTTCATCTCCACTGATTTTATTTTTTTAAACAAACCCAGACGTTTCTGCCAGTGGAAGGTTGTCAAGATGCAGATTTCATTTCGATAGAATTGACAATAAATAATAATGAGATAAAGCTGGAACTCAAATTGTAGTTTCTTACAATAAAGGGCTTTTCACTGCTTTAAAACCATCTCTATAAGACACGAGAGCTCTTCAGTATGTTAATAAAAACTGATGGGCACCAATTTATGCAGACAGACAACAGACATCTACATACAGCTCATCTGTCCTTTGTCCTATCTGTCGATTTAATGTCCTTTGTCCTGCATCCCTGGCTTTTGTATAAAACCACAGCTGCTGGATCGGACTGACACCGCAGACCCACTAAAACCCATAAACACAATGAGACGTTTCAGAGCTGCACACCAACACACGGCCTCCACGTTCATGGCTGTTGCTAAGCAACAGGCTACACGCAGTCGTTTCATCCACATCAAAATGTAGGTGCATGACGAAAAGCAAGAATATCAGTTTTCTTCTGTTTGTTTAAAGAAAATACAAACAGCTAAATGTCAACGGGTGACTAACGAGTTAAAGATGTCACCTGGGTTTGCAGCTTCAAACATAAAAATTTAAAATAAAAACATGTTTTACATGCTTTCATCTACAACAAATGGGAAAAAATACTAAAGAACTTGTGCCCAGCTCCCTTCAGAAATGATTGGAGCTGAAAAACAGGCTGATGTTTTGATGAATAAACCACAGAAGAGTAAAGAGAACCAAGATCAAAAGAAATGTTCAAGCTGCTGCCAGCAGTTCAACAGGGTCACCATGGTAACCAGGCAGACAGAAACACAGAGCAGAAAGTAAGCCTCAGACGAACAGTCGCTGTATGAAAACTATAGGTCTTGTTGGAAAAATTCCTGAATGGTGAGGAGGTTCTGATGGTCACATCTCAGTTTTTACCTTTCTGCTGAGTTTTATGTGGCAGATATGACTGTTTTGAAGAGAAAATGGAAGTCAGTGAGAGTTTGGGTGTTGGCTTTCTGCACTGTGGGGGCGTTTGAGATGAAACCTTCAGTCCCTTCAGCTGTGAGACACGAGACAAAAATACCTACGTTCTGATGCATAAACTGTAAACCACGTGTAAAAACTGGAAATAAAATGTTTGCCAAAAAATTGTTAGAAAAGTTTAGACAGCTTAAACACTCTTCAGCAAGCTGCCCTGTGTGTCAATCATGGGCGCCGTTGTTTGCGCATGCGTGGATACCTATGTGTCAGAAAAGGTCGGTCTCCAATTGGCTAACCTGTATGTCAATCAAGTGACAATTTGCATAGTGAAGATGGATTGATCGGCTGACGTCTTAAAAAAAAAAAAAGTAAAATTAAAATAAAAAAAAAAAAAATAGGTCTGACATCTATTTCGCCATGCGATCTACTGATATTACCTTCGCAAGCTACCGGTAGATTGTGATCGCCATATTGGGCACCCCTGGTTTAACGTCTTGGGTCACAGCTTTCAGAGGTCTGACCCAGGAGTGCCGACCAAACTCAAAGAGCCTGAGAAAAATTTAGATTTTATTTATTTTTTAATTTTTTTTTAAAACAAAAACTAAAAGTGGTCCAGGCTGAAAAAACAAAAACAACAACAACTTGAGGAGACACTGAGGAGAACCAGACATGGCATGATGCACAACAATGATCAACTGAGGGTGTAGCAAAAACTGAGAGACTCTATGGACCAGGGCTGATGAGTGGAAACACCTGGCCGGATGACAACAGGGAACAGGTGAGTGGGCGGGGCTAGAGCTGAGGGAGCAGAGCTAACTTAAGTGGCTGATGTGACAGCACAGAGGAAACTAAACACAGAAGAATTAAATGAACACACACAGAACAGAACCAAACAAAACACGATGACAAAACGAGTGAAATGAGCACAATATTCCAGACGGTCTGCAGGAGATACGAGCTTTACGGCTGCTGGTTCTGGGAAAAACAACGTTTCATAAAGCTGAGTTCTACAGGAGCAGCTTCCATTAGTGGCAATAAGGAGGAAGTGTGTACAGTCCTCGTTTCAAATAATAAAAAACTCATCGTTTTAGGAGCAGATCAATAAATGCTTCTTCGGCGTGTAGGTGACGTGTTTTGGTTCCTCACCTGGTCCGGTTCCGTGGAGCTGGGTGAAGTTGTCCAGCATGTAGGTGAAGAAACTGGAGAGCTAAAAAAAAAAAAAGATCAGACGTCTTCGAGCTTTGTGGTAACTTTCAAATCAAAGAGTTTTAGCTGAGTTAGCTCTGAGGGACACCTGCAGCTGCTCCTGCTCCGCGGCGTACTCGATGGACTGGAAGATGTTCCAGGTGTAGCGGCGCCTCATCTCCAGACGGGCCATGTAGCGCCGGTACCATCGCTGGATCAGAACGGCTGCTTTCATCGCTGCAGCAAAACACCAGATGTTAGCGAACGTCCTCGGTCACACAGCAGGTGTTTCAGTTTAGATTTCACATCCTTCAGCTCATTTTCTTCAGCTGTTTTCAAACTTCCTTCAGTTTCATCTGTGAGTCTCAGATTCAAATAAAAAGAACACTTACTGCTTAAAATAAATGAGCACTGAATAACTGAAACAGATGTTAAAGCAAAAAGAACAAGAACAGCTAAAAGTTAAATGCAGCTAAAAGCTAAACACTGGTTACATTAGCTGAAGCCTTAAAGTCGTAAAAAGCTACTTAAACATTTTAAAAGGTTAGCTAGAAGCTAGAAGTAATAAAAAGGCTGGTTAAAAGTATCAAAAAGGCTAAAAGCTTAAAGCTCAAGTAAAAAGCTTAAAGCTAAAGTTTAGCTTAAAGCTAAAGTGGAAAAACAGAATAAGTAACATTAGCAAAAAACCAGCTAAAAGTAGCATAGTAGTAGTTAAAAGTAGAAACAGGGAAGGTAAAAGCAAAAAGTTGCAAAATATTAGCTAAACATCACAAACAGCTAAAGGCTAAAATAGCTAAAAGGTTTGCTATAAGTGTCACAAGACTAAAACGTGAAAGCAGCAAAAGACAATCAAAAAGCTATAGGTAGCACTAGCTAAAAGTGCAAAGCACTAGCTGAAGACAAAAAGGAGCTAAATTCTAGCTAAAGCTGCATGTTGCAAAAAGCTAGCAAAATGTTTTAGAAGTTTAATTAAAAGCTAAAAGTAGCAAAAGACAAGCTTAAAGGGAAAGTAGAACAGCAGCTAAAATGACTAAAAGGTCAGCTGAAAGATCCAAATAGAAAAATGGAAGTTGAAAGCTAAATGTAGCAAAAGAGTGGTTAAAAGCTAAATGTAGCAAGAGGCTAGTTAAAAGCTAAAAGTAGTGTAAGAAGACAAAAGCTGAGCTACTAGCTGAAAGGAGAACCGTGTTTCTGAAGGAATCAAACATATTTCTGCTACTTTAAGTGTTTGTAAATAAAGAAATATTTTAAAATCTGTTATCCAACAAGTCACCCATCTCCTGAATTATCTGAACGTTTTAATATAGAAACAGCTAAAATAAAACAAAGGCTGCAGTAGTTGTATTATAAACAGGTAAACAACAAGCTGATGCTGACTCAGCATTTCATAAAAAAACATGAAAGTCAGTCTTACTGAGAGCTGGACTGGGACTCCTGACGGCTTTATCTGTGAGGAGAAACACGATGAGTCTTAACGAAGAGCTGATAATGGATCACACACACACACACACACACACACACACACACACACACACACACACAC